ATCTTTGATAAAGGGGCCAATCAAACTCACTGGAAGAATGATAGCCTCTTTAATAAATGGTGCTGGAAAAATTGGCTTAATACCTGCCAAAAACTGAAAATAGACCCAAGCCTATCACCATGCACCAAACTCATGAATTCTTGAGATCCATCCTCTTGAAGCTGATGTGAAAATTCACAAACCCCATCTTCTGGTAGTAGTAGCGCATCCGTCTCCATTACCATCTGAATAGCCTTGATCAATCACTTTCACAGGACGAGCAAATCCTCTAATTGCCCTCAGGGTTTCCTACCTACATTTCTTCAACAAATCCTCAGTCAGTCTCCTGTGCCACCACACAAGAGCAGGCTCTGTCTGGTCCTCACAGCACGAGCGTGTCTTCAGCTCCTTACCCGTGAGCAAATACATGCTAACGTGTAGTCCTCATTAAACCATGGAAAGGAGACGTCATAATGTTCTGGATTTTCCTACTAGGAGATAAACAACTGGAACTAAGTCCACACTGCCAAAATCCCAAACCCTTAGCTGGTGAAAATGGGCATGTTCTTCACTATCCTTACACATATCCAATAGCAAGTATATCCCATTAATTCTGAGCAGATAGCACAATTTTAGTAAAGACTTACTTCATCTCTCATAATGTGTCATGCCTTTGTTCTTTTGAAAAAGGCATCATTGCATATATTTTGATTTTTCTACCTTCTCATTTTATGTCTTTTCCAATGCCGTTTACCCTTCATCAATGACTTGCAAATTAAGACAACTTGGCCAGCTCATCCCGGGGATAAACTTCCTGTGATGGGCTGGTCTCCACGGTGCCCCTAACGCACTTTTCAGACTGGATAATACCACTGGCCATTTACTTTGTCTTTTTTATCATGAAGTTCTTGGGAAGTAATGTGAAATATTAATTAAATGTTTATCCCCAGTTCCGGGAAAACACTAGGCACTGAAATCATGTTTGCTGAAGACAGGATTTGCTGTTCAAGAGATTGCAGTAACCTTTAAGAAGTAAATGTCAGGGCACATGGGATTAATGATTTAATGAAATTAGAAATCACTTATAAACTGGTCTTTTCAGAGGTGTTCTAGCAGAAAGGAAGATTTAGGAGTAGCAGACTTTATCTCTTGTCTTTTGTGTCTCTCATCGTGTGCGTGTGTGTGTGTGTGTGTGTGTGTGTGTGTGTGTGTGTGTGTGTCTACATGGGCATTTTTACTAGAATAAAGTATAGACGAGACACCATTCAGATATTAAATGTATGGAAGGAAGCAGTAGGCTTAGGAATAAGAGATAAGTTGGAGTCTTAATCATTTAATTTTCACGTAGTCTTGGGGAAGCACATTGTCTTCTGAACCTCAGGGCCCTCACGTATAGACCGGAGGTATCCTGTTTCTGTCATACTGGGGATTCACACTGAGATGCTTCTTCAGTCCTCTATTGATTTTTTACTTGGAGACAAGGTCTCATTAAATCACTTAGTTGCCAAGGCTTGGATTTAACTTGAAATCTCTTGCCTCATCCTCCAGATGCTGGGCTAACAGCCCTGAGTATCATTCCTATAAAGAGATGTTGGCTTCTACGTCTGATTCACAGAAGTTCTCTTGGACCAGAGTTCAGATGTGTTCAAAGCCTAGCCCTCTCTGGTGATCCCAGCTGCAGCCCAAATCCAGAAACACTGCATGCATTGAGACTGACCTTCTAATGTCCTTCTTGAGTGCCAGTGACTGGTTATGAGTAGCTTAGGGGCACCCCTCAGAAGGAACAGTGAGGACACAGAAGGGAGAAGCGAAGCAGGAGCTATCGGGTCAGCAGGAGCAGAGAGGGGCCTTCTGCCCACAGGAAGAGGGCCTGTATGTTCCTTGGGAGAACTGTAGCAGGAATGCAGGATCAAAAAGTCCAAGTGGAGGTGGAGAGGAGCATTACCTTGCCTAAGTCTGGAATGCACTGTAAACAAAACAAAAATAAAACCATACACAGCATAAATCCATCTAATGTTTGTGGTATACTATGAATATAATTAAAGTTTCATGTTAATCTCATATGCTACCAAACAAATCCAGATTAGTGTCATGAGTGCCAGGGACTATGAATGAAGATGACAATTTCATGTTTCAGTTACAAGTTCAGTAGAAATTTCAGGAGCATCTTGGAATGAATATTTTCCAAGTTTTCCTAGTCATAAGAATTTCTAAAGTGCTTTGCAATTTATACATTCCTGGGCCCCACCCTACCACTTTCAAAGGAGGGACTTGGAAATGTGTATTTTTGAAAGTATATTAGATTATTGAAAAGACGAGAATAGTTGGAAAATGCCAACCTGAATTACTGTTGTTTCTAGATTAATAATCCATGATTTCATACAATGCAGATCACTATCCCATCACAAAAAGCTACGCTTAAACTGAATTTAAGAATGTAATATGGTTTTCTTTGAGGTGCTCAGGTAAAATATCGTGGTGCTAAGCCTGAAACAATAGCAAAGACTTACAATAAAGGTGACCGACGGTCCACACTGTGCATCTATGTCCGTCTTCAGAAGAAACCATCATCTTGTTCTACAAATTAATGCATCCCAGTCTGTGTTACAGTACAGTGATGCAGACAGCCTTCCCATCGGGGACAAACAGTGATCAAGCACGGCGTCTCACCTCCTACAGTATCACTCTTCAAACTTTGCCCACTGCGTGACTTTACCAGAAAGTACATTTTCAGCTGTCATCCCAACACATCTTCGTTCTCTTCACACATTTGGTGTTTGTTTGTCTGTGAAGTATGTACTGTTTTATCATGTGCACCAAAAACTTACACAAAATATTCTTTTTAATGAGAAAAACACAGTGGGTCATCTTGTGCACTCCGTCACGTGTGCCCCTGGCCTTGCTGGCCCAGGGCTAAGCCTCTGTGCCCCAGAAGGTGGACGTTCTGGTCATTAAAGTCAAGTCATTCTTTTGCACGCTTCGTACCCAGTATTGTATTTATGGCATGTTTTGCTGTGCTTCATATTTAAAATATGGTTTTATGAAATGGATATTTTTATAGATCAAAAATTAATCAGCTTTCCCGTTTAATCTCCAGTTCTCCCGTGGCCTGGGATCCCTGCACCATCAGCTCCAGTTACCCTTTTTCCCTCCAACACTCCCTTTGGAACTTCCCACAGCCCCCGTGTGCAGCCTGGAATAGCAGTCACAGTAACCTTGTTCTGTCCTGATCATTTTTAACTGTGTGTTCAATCTGGAATAGTGCTGTGCCATCAAGGATCTGTGTGTGTGTGTGTGTGTGTGTGTGTGTGTGTGTGTGTAAGTATCCAACAGGAAAGTTAAACATGTATTTTTTTGAGTCCTGTAAAGAAGAATGAGTGATCTTAGCAAATGAGGGCCAACTCCATGAACTTCTCTCTTTAGTTAGAAGACAACTCACTTGTCTCTGTATTTATTTACTGTGTTCTGTCTTCTATTATTTCATGTCTTTGTGAATAATCATGACCATGTTGAAAAAGTGAAGATTTTGTAGAACAAGTAAAAGTATATTAACTATACCAAGTTTTCTATTAAAACGTATCATTTGCCTATCATTTCAAAGGAAATGAATGACTCCCAGTGTGAAATGCCGGAATACATTTGCTCGGAGATCTCGTCCACCCTGTAGTGCCTGGCCCGGGAACTCTAGTGCCACCTATTTTAGAAATGTATCTCGTGTATTATATGTGAAATTTACTGTGTGCATTCTCAACCTCGCCTTCAGCCTTGTTTGGTTGTTCGTTTGTTTTGTTGCGGGTTTTTGACTCCATTCTACTTCTTAATTAATTTCTTCACCAAGTGTCAGTATCAGCCTGGCACAGTGGTGCGAACCTGTAATCCCAGCACTTTTCAAGGCCAAGGCTGCGGGATGCAAGTTCAAAGCCAGCCTGAGCAACTTAGTGAGACCCTGTATCAAACTGAAAAATGTCAAAGCCCAGAGTTCAGTCCTCAGCATCAGAAATCAAACAGAAAGAAAAGAGTCTCTGTCAGTCAAACCTCCCAGACAGACACTTATGCCACTGAGCTATATCCGCAGCCCAAGAGTCTCTGTCAGTCAAACCTCCCATGTCTTGCTGGCCGGCAGCTGCATGTGACATTACAGACAAGAAGGAAGGATTTCCTTCTTTTCGCAGCTGACAGAACTGGCCACATCTCAGGCAATCTTTTCGTACCAAGTACACATGCTTAAATTCATACAATGATTCCACCCTTCCTAGGAGCCAAGCACTGTTTACAAGTTCCATTTTGGATGTGAGGCTGAGGAAAGTCAGGTAACTTGGTGAAGGTTTGTAACTGGGGAGGTGGAAACAGGGTGCAAACCCCAGCCTCGGGCTCCAGACCTGCAAACACACTCTCTCCAAGACCACACGCAGTCAGCACGGCGTGTGGGTGAGCAGGTTCCAGACTCAGAACGATTCCTGACGCTGCTGGTGAATGTGTGAGCGGACCCACAACGTGCAGGTTCCTCAGCATCTGGAAGATTCCCCCCCTTTCCCACCCTTTCCACGAGAATTTCTTCAGGCCTTGGGACATAGAGGCAGCCCCAGCTGAGAAGAGAGTTTCCGAAAAGAGGAGCTAATGCTCGAGAAAGTGGGTCACTTTGAAAGTTTACTAGGAGAGCTGAAGAAATTCATTATCAGAATGGAAGGACAAGGAAGAGTTAATATAATTTATGTAACGTTTTAAGGGGCACATTCGTTCATCCAAACACCACCTTCTTTCTTTATTCATGTATTATAAATAATCTGAGATATTGTTAATTACTGGTGAACCTAGACATTATACTTTTTAATGTGATCCATCATACTTTTGAAATGTATATACAGCTGCTGAACCAGTGATTAATCATAAGAATCATTTCATAAAGTATTAACATCATAAAGTATTTCCATGTCTATTACCTTTCGTGGTCAATTTTATATTTTCAAATTTTAAGAGAAAAGGCTCTATGACCGTTTTAACAAAGCCTGTTTTTCTTTTTCATTAGTGACAGTAATGTGATATCTCTTCAGCAGTGAGACAGAGGACATCAAGACGTTGAACAATTAAGAAAAGAAAGTGATTCGGAGGAAGACATTTGACTTCAACCAGCATAAAGGCCACACGCTCTGCATGTCACTCACTTTTCTTGAAAAGGTCTCTTAAAAAGACAGCTTCTAACATTAGAACAATATCAATTTTTCCAGCATAGCTGGATATCTTTGGGTAATGTCCCACATATTTGATAGGTTTGCTTTTTACTGCTACAAATGCTATAGAGATATATTTGTTTTCAGTTAAAAATTTGCACTGTTGTACTATCACCAATAAAATAGAAGCAGATGATTCTAATTGTGTTCAGATTGTCATTGTTTTTTAATAACTGGTATTAAATTAAGATATTTAAAATAACAATCATTCATATAAAATAATGCAGAAAATAAAAGCATGCATCATGAAAAAAGACTAAGTTCTTACAAGACTACTCAGAAACTGAATTTTGCTTTTTTTCCCAGAGGACAAGATCAAATATTTAAGTGCTAACTTATTCCAGACCTCTGCAATGACAAGCTTATATTTTGAGATGATCCAAGTGTCCACTTAACTGTAATACCCTAACACACTGCAAAAGCTTTAGGGCTCTACTGCAGAGCCAGTGCTATTTTATCAATAGGAGTGCCGAAAAAGCAGAGCAGGTTTGTACTTGCTTAGGTGGTTCTGAAGCACACATCCTAAGGCAGACGGTATCTTGCCTCCAGTTTCCTGAGAACACATATCTCAGGCACACATTTGCGTGCTGGCGTTCTGCTGAAGTGCCTGTGGAGGCAATACTGAGGGCAGTGAGAATAAAGATGGCAGAAGCAGAACTGTGATCCCGAGCCTCCTGCCTCCAGTGCACCTTAGCCCAAGGGAGAGTAAGGAAGGGAGTCACCATGCCGCAGCTGTGGTTCTCGGACCCACTGCAGCAGAAGGGCGGGTCCCGCTGGCATCTACACGCCAAGATATGTCACTGGCTAAACAGACTTTACCTCTTTGCTCCTACAGCAGCATGGGTGCGAGGATGCCCGGTAGAGCTGACAGGTATCAGAGCAAAGCCGGAGGTCTGGCCCCTGAGAGCGTGCAGCTGCCTCCAGTCCTGCTCATGTCGGACCTGCGGTGTGTTTCTGTCATACACAGAGATGCTGAGTAAATAATTCTGACTTGGCTGATCTGGAGAAGGCAGTGTGTACGGTCACACTGTCACTTACTAGTCCACTGGCGGTTCAGATCTTTATTTCTAGTATTGTGGGAGCTGTTTCATATGCGCTTGTTTGTTTTTGAGTGGTATAGGGCTGTAGGTGAGAGGCTAAGGATTGTCTGCGAAGCACATGGTTTGCACAGTCGTTCTATTCTGGGGTTTCCCATGGTCTCCCCGTGGCATCAGTCTCACCACTGCTTCCTCAGTGTTTACGTTCCTGCTGGATCATGTGTCCAGGAGCCAGGGATGCTGCCCTACAAGCTGGACCTGCTAGGGAGCCCTTTCTCGTTGAGCTTCTCGCACCTTTGAGCTTTTCGTGTCACTTAGTGAATAGAGCACTGCACTGTTTCCAGGTGTTCTCTTCTGTTTTAGTGGAAGTGAGGTCAAACGTGGAACCATTTTCATCTCCTTTAGCAGAAGTGTCGCCACGTATTCCAATCTATGGAGACAAAAAATACTCAGGTGAGCAGCCCCCACCTTTCCGGGGTCATCTCCCTTCCTCTTTGGTGCCCTCATGTTACCAAGGCCTCCGGTTTCCTGTCACCTGGAGCCTTTTATATAACTGATACAGCTGCACATGTAATGAAATGGTGTGATGCTGTGTTCATACAGTCCTAGTCCCTGAGGGCTATGCTGCGGCAGAAGGTGAAACAATCTCAACTAAGCAGATCATAAGGGCATATTATTGTCTACTTCTTAAATGAAAGCCCATTTCTCATATGATTCAAGATAACATACTCCCCAAATAAATATACTATTTACAATATAAATAGTATATTGGTAGCATATGTATTGTAAATCATATAATATAATAGTATTTATAGCATAAATAGTATAATGGTAGCATATAGAGCATAAAGAGTATAATATAATGTAACAGTATGTATAGTATAAATAGTGTGCTGGTAGTATTTAGAGTAGAATGGTAGTATATATAGTGTGACTGGTATAACGATAAAGTTCATCTGCCCTCAAAGAGTTACTTTATCCACCTTAGCAATGGACATTGCGGCTACTTCTTGGATGAGTTGAGGTGGTTTTCTCCCATTGGCCTGGAAGCATCTCATTTCTTTTTTTTTTTACTTTTTTATTTTAGAAATTAAAGGAGGAAAATACTAACAGACCGACAACATTTTACAAAATAGCATAGGATCAGTACAGACATTACAGAGTTACAAACAGAGTGGTAGGGAATTAACAATGCTTATTGTATTACATATTGATATCTTCAATGTAGTTTCTCATGAAAACACATATAGACATGCAAAGCTAATCAACCAATGACTCACTGACAGTTTCTTTCAGCAAGGAAATACAGGACAGTAGAACACCCGTGTTAACTATCCTGCATATACATATATACAAACTTTCTCCTTCTTTCCCTTCTCTTTTCCCATATCCCAGTTATCCTTTACCTATGAGTTCTTTCCTATCAATTCTCAATGTCTATCATATCTCCTAGATTAAATTAACTCTTTCAGGCTTTACACTAGAGAAACAATGCGGTGCTTGCACATGTATGTTTGATTTATTTCGCTTATGAGTATGGTCTCTAGTTGTGACTATTTGCCTATAAAAGCCTCAAGTTTATCTTTCTTTACAGCTGAGTAATATTCCATTATATAAAAGTACCACAATTTTCTTATGAGGCATCTCATTTCTATAGAGAAAAGGTTTATAATTTAAATGGGGCTTGGACGGGGACCTCAGCATCATTTAAGGATACATTTTTCTGGGTAGCAATAATGCCTCTCGTGCGCCGTCTGCCCCTAGATGGTGACAGTGTGTTTGATGTACAGTGTTTTCCATGGAAGAGCCAGTGCCCAGTTACATCGGACCTTTGTTACGGGCTGGGAAAATAACTTTGTACTTTCTGCCACCACCCGTGTCCATTCTGGCTGGAGGCGACTGTCCCTCTGAGCACCCTCCAGGTGCTCACTGGATGGAGCATGAGCTGAGTGGACTGAAGGGAAACTGGATTTGGGCTGGGACCCCACTTGTTCCACTTGGCCCCCCAAACCCTGAGTCTGGGGCTGTAGTAGTGCTTCAGGCCCCAAGGAGCAGTTTCAGTTGGAACCCTGGGTCCAATAGTTACCAGAATGACTGGTCTTCCCTTCTTACACTGACCACTTACAGACGACAGTGGCCGCAGAGGCCCTTGGGGGAAGGTCTCGAGGGGAACCATAGCTGAACTGCTGTTTCTTTTTCATAAGGACTCAGCGGCTCTTTTAGTTAATGAGGTCTGGGTCTGCAGATTACCTCAGCTCTGGACACTGGTATGAGATCATGACTTTTTATTGGAGTGACTGCCCTGAAGCTCAAGCTCATGAATGTTTCAATTCGCTTAGTTGTATAAATCATGAAATATCCTCACTGGCCATCCACAATCTTCCCTATGGGACAGTGTGTCCCAGGACCAGTTCTCATAACTCCTGGGTCAGACCCTTCCCCTGCCGCTCTGAGGATGTAGCTCATTAATTATGTTTCTCGTTTCTGACTCTTTAAGTGCATGGCTTCTCTTTCTAGTACCATATTATCTCCATGGGCGGTTGGCGTGCCAGCTTTCAGAAACAAATCCTGTCTGTCCTGAGATTCTCAACGCTGATGTCTCCCACCAGCAAAACCCTTATTACTGCTGTAAGTGCTGGGGCTTGGGCGCCCCCTTGTGGCTCATAGGAGGAGGTCGGATTTCTGCTTTTATGTAGTAATTTACTCTACCAGGACATTTCTGTAAACCACTCCCTCATTTCCTTACCCTCTGCTATGAGCATCCTTCAAATCTTGCTCATTTCACATGGATATTTCACTTTTGCAAGTTCTGAGACACATATCAGCATGGTTTCTTGCTGTTTGTGTCAATGTGTTAGTCACCACTGTTGTACTGATCTCTACATCTTTCATGCTCGCTGCTCCCAGAATTCAGTCCTATGTATGCTCTTGCAGCTTCTACTGGTGCCTGCCAGGTTCTATGTCTCATGGTCCTTCTTCCCTCACAGCAGAATAAGCCATGGAAGAATCAGTCATGTCGTGACCCTAATTGTTGGTCTTGTAGCCAGGAGAGAAAGTAGAGGTCCGTTCTTGTTACCCGCAGCATGAATTTCAAGACATGGCCTCCAACACAGTGGGGAAGCCTAGTCAAGAGCAGGGTGGGGTAGGCCACTTCTATAGGACAGAGTGTTCAGAGAAGACCAAGTTTCAAGTTTTTCAGATATATTTTTCTATGTCTTGATTCCAATTTTCACTTCTTTGCAATCAAGGTCTTGGCCTGGATAGAACAGAGGTGCCGCAGTTGAGAGCTGAATTTTCCCTGGAGCTCACACCCTATTAAGTATCCTAGGCCTGAGATGACATTTTCTGGCAAGTGGAGAGACAAGAATGTCTTGGAAAATCAGGCTGCTGAATTCCTTTCCTTTATCTTCTTTCTTCCTTTTTCAGGACAGTAAGAATTACCTCAATTGGTCCATAGATGTGTGTCAGTGGACATTATGAAGGGAAGTTGCTCTCAGATAATGTTTTCATAGATGTCTAGAACACAACTTCAGTCTCTAGAAGAGAATATTACTTCATGCAAAGTCAATAATCATCAAGATCCCCTGCTGATTCCTGCCGAAGTGACGTTTTCAATTGACTTTATCAAAAATAGTGAAACATGTCTGTTATGGTTTGTGTCTGAATGTCCCCTCAAAGCCTCATGCAGTCATGGGGCGGGCTTTTAGAGTTTATGATCGATTCTTGGTCCAGTGCTGCGATTATGGGTGTGAGTGCTACATCCGCCCTGGGGCGAGCAGCCTACATACAATATAAGGGAGGGAAAGAGGCTGCTTGCTACCGCTCCTCCCTTTTGCTCTTGCTGCTTTTGCTATTTTCATCTGCCATGAACTGTTGCCCTCTGCCATGTGCCACTCTGCCTTGGAGCCAGTAAAGTATGGACTGAAACCTCCACAAACTGTGAGCTATAAAAACATTCCCCTCCTTTCTTAATTCTGGACGTCAGATATTTTGTCTCAGCAATGAGAGAAAAGTAACCAAGACAATGTCTTATTTTGGGAAATATTTATTCAATTTTAAAATCTGGTGTTATGGTTTGTGTCTGGAGGCTC